CCAGGCGTTCCAGGCGTAGGCGTGGCAGCCTCATCGGGTAAAGACTCTCCGAAGATGACTGAGAGTGTGTCTTCGTCCAGGCCGATCAGATCCCTGATCACCCGTCGCGTTATCCGTTGCCACAATGATAGATTCTCCGTGCCTTCCTCGGAAGATTCACTCTGCACGTCCGACACAGACTGTGCAGTAGGCGGTTTTGTGCCCGTTGCCTCCTTTCGCGCGTCAACCCGACTCGCTCCCGTACTGACCATGCTCATTCGCCGCCTCCGTCTTGTCTCTTTTTCAATCTCTTCCAGCAATGCTTTACTTTGCTCAAGCCTCCACCTTTCAATGCGCTGTCGCTTCTCGTGTTCCGTATTCGTGTCCTCATGGTCGTCGAGGACTGAGAGGTGCCGCTGCACACTGGATCGCCGCCTGGGTGCTCGTCGCTTTTGTCGCTCGAACTGCCACATGTGTTCCTGCATAGTCGCGTTCGGCTTGAACTCGCCCAATCCGTCATGGGTCGGTAGCACAGTATCACCACTCTCTTGCAGCCTGCCTACTGGCGCACCATATTCCGATGGCTCATGGAACGCGTGTAGGCCATCATCTAGGCTGTCTAGCTCCTCTTCCGTCCCAAGAAATGAGCCAGCACCATCATCTTGCTCGGACCGCGCAGCAGTCTCGAGCGAGCCAAATTCGCTGAAGCGTGACAGACCAGCTGTCCGTGGAGTGCGGTCGGTCGAAGTGGTGTGTGTGCGAGTGGTAGCAGAAGGCGCGGTCGGGGAGAAGAGGACCCATTCCTCCGATTGATCTAGAGATCTGGTGGCTTGTAATGAGGTGGTCGCGGGTTCGGTCGCGGGTTCTGGTGCTTGGTAGGATATCTGCCTTCCGGGCTGCGGTCTGTGCTGCTGTATGAAAGCCATGGTGTAGTAATCTGAGGAGGGCCGCGACGTATACGGTAGTGGCGATGGAGGAGTCAAGTGCTCGGGCAAGGCACGTGGACGTCGGGCAGATAGGATAAATTGTGAGGTTATGGAATAGTATCAACGCGTCGCGTTGGGGGCGGTGTGTTCCTTATCGTCGTGTTGGCCTCATGCCTCGTTGCGACGTTTACCACTACTTCTAGCGGTGGGAGGGGACGAGTGTATGATGCCCAGTATGTCGTGCGCTAGGGACACGCTACTACTGCAGGCGGCGGGTGATCAGGCGCAAGTGCGGTAAAACAAGATGTGACGAGTCTACCAGAGATAAATGAAACACGCGGGAGACAGGCGATATAGGAGAGACAGCGTCCTTGCAAGGCGACAGAGATGTGTCAGGGAGGCTGACCTGCGTCAAGCATGCGGCGAGGGTTACAAGAATAGAGATGCGCGTTCAGTGACCCTGAGGTGAACTTCCCTGATAAGAGATAACCAGCGAGGCCCGCTTTAGCAGCTAGAGCACCCCCGCGGCGTCCCACAAATGCCAACTACACACGCTGCACCCTCTGATGATGATGTGATGAGCCAACGATTACTGATTCGCGCCATGTTTCCTGCCCTCTGATTCTGCGAAACCGAAGAAGGGCCAGCGACGTTTTCTAGCCGTCGCTCAGTCACGCAATCGTGCATGCGATATTCGCTCATGGATTCGCAACCTCCACCCCTTACGCTAGAAGACTGTCAGATCTGCGTGCGGCACCGGGCCAGGTGCAGTCGCAAGCTATTCTCATCACGAACATGACATGATCCCGAAAAACCTTCGTCAAGGCCCGAGCCAGACTCCCTCCATTATGAAGCACCGCCATACGCATTCCATCGCCCGAAAATGCTGCGAACATTTCGCGTCACGTCAGGCATGCCCCGAATGTTGTCCTCTCCGATCATCGCCCCGATTCGGCGATTATCGCCCGCTTTCGCCCGCTAGACTTACCCAACGCAGCAGTACAAGTGAACGTACTCCAAGCATGACAAGGAACACGTCTCTGCAGATTCTGTCGCGAGACGACTTGCCTATTGAGTCACCCAGTTCCACCGCCAACACGAGAGAAAAATTCTGTAAGATGAACAAGCACGTATGCGTTAGGTAGGTATCGAACGACGCTATTCAGGTATAGTACAGATGCCACAAACGCCGTGCAGCTATACAATGAGTGTCAACAAAAGGTCGCTATCAATAATGTCATATCCTCGTCATCGCATCTTCAAGACGCCGAATCATACTCTGTGCCGAACACGCGTTTTGCGTCTTCTTCGTTCATCTCTTCGCCCTCGCCAATGTTCACCCACCTCTTTGTGATCCTAGATTTCTCTCCTGGACGTCCCTTGAGCACACACTCGCCGTTACCCTGGCAAATTTCTTGCCGCCCTAGATTCTTGAAGCGGGGACCAAGTGGTCCATTGACGTAATGGTACTGGCCCAAGAAGCGGTATTGTCGAGGGTCGCTAAGTGGATAGAACTTATCGCCCCAGTGACCTCCAAAGTAGAACCACGAGGTAGGTGCGCGCGGGTTGAGGTTCGATGCGACAAGGCGGTCGGATCGGTAGTCGTACTTGTATGAATACATGTTCATGACAGGGTCCCAGAGAGGGCCCCGATCTGTGACGTCGTGGAGAATGCCACCAGGCAAGACGTACGGATGTACACCTTCCGTAGCGTACATGGCGTGGGTACCGGTAGCAGAGAAGCCGATGGGCTAGATATGTTAGTGTCGCTTACGGTGTTGAGACATTGAACTTACCCTCTGTCCACTCTTCTCTACAGCGTCCCAGGTGTACGCTTCTCCAAAGCTGTGTTCACTAAAGAACACCGCTTTGGGCTCGCCATGCTGGAACCTGACCACAGTATGTTCCCAGTCGCCAACGTGATTGCCGAAACGAATGTTGAAGACAGCGTTACCAAGGTTGTAACTATAAAAGAAGAACCAGAAAGCGTCCACCACACCATCACCCTTGTCTACAACAACCAGCGGTACGGGCGCATCACTTCGACCACCGACGACTTTCTTGCCAGTGAAGCTGCGTCGAGCATAACGCAGCTCTGATCGCCAGTGTTTATCATCGTCATCAACAAGCTCTTCGCCTTCGGGCAATTCCGAAGGGACTGGTAGACCGGGAGCTGTGGGATCTGGCCGGATGCCACCTCGATCCCTAGTATCGCCAGCACCGACATGCCACCAGCTTGACTTTTCGCCATTCTTGTCCTCCGTGAGATGTCCAGGCACTTTGTGATACTCTTTGTCGTCATCGTCGTCATTTCCATCATTCGGCGCGTTGGGTATGTTGTAATCCGCACCCAGCCAGGACGGGCGGTCCTCGACGTTGTCATCGCTCTGGAGGTACACAAACCGTCCCCACTTGTTAAGGTCACCAAGATCACTAATGTTCGGGTGATCGCTAGATGCTTGCAGAGGCGTATAGTTCAGATGTGGTGTTGTGTGAATCAAGTGTTCTGCCATGTCGCCTGGCCAGTACTCTTCTCCTGAGAAGAGGTGGATGAGCGGCGCGTGGTCTATCACGTATTGCGGTATCTCGAGTTGCTCCAACGGTTTGTAATCACCTGGAATGTTTCGCGCATCATTCCAGAAGTCGGTCAAGTTGACCTTGGCCTCCTTTCCATCTTCCGTTGTCCTCTGGCTCTGCGATTTCACAGTCTGTGTGGTCCATTGCGCCTTGTTCAGATGCGCCAGGCCACACATGCCGAACCAACTGCAGGCCTTCCGGTCTACCCATGACTGAGACGACGCGACCCAGGCCGCTTCGTCTGCGCGTTCGCTCGAGGGGGTCAGGCTTTCGAAAAGAACGTTTTGGTATAGTTGCGAGAACGAGAACAAGCCAAAGAAGGTACCCGCAGCAGCGATGGCGGGTTTCCTGCCCTTCATCTGAGCGTCGTCCTCGGTCAACGAGTCGTCGGTACCAGCGAAAGATGTAGTAGCCTCTTCAGATGGTTTCGTTTGGGAAGAATGCTGCGTAGGAATATCGATGGTAGGTAGGAAGTGGGAGTGAGCAGCGTCCTGCGCAGCGTCTGGGACTTCGGTCGGAGGATCGGGAGAGTATGTTACTATCGGAGTGTACTCAGGTACGTCTATTGAAGGTATGGATGAAGACGGAAGCGATGACGGAAGGACCGCCTGCAGTGGGACCTGCCCTCCGCCATGCTGGAGGTATGGAACGATGGGCACTGACTGGTTAGCTTCTGTTCACAGGCTCGAACAGGCAAAGTAGGAGACATTTGGCTCGAGGTAGGAAAGATCTGAAGCCGATACTGCCGGATGGCTGACAAAACGGCAGGCGTGGCCCAAGATCCGATAGTCGACAGAGCTATGTGATGCCGGACACGGCAAGTGCAGGGCGCGACTGGCCTGATCGACAGTAGAGCGGCCATCGCACAGTCCAAAGAGGCTTGAAATGGGCTAATGGTGTAGGGAAAAGCGGGGAGGGCGCGGAGGTAGCGGAAAGGTCATGATGACTTGGAATGCTCTAATCTGGCCGGACATGGGCGGAAGCACACTTACTGATGAGAGTAGACGGCCGTGGCCAGTCGATTGCGTGCAAGAACCCGGCTTGAGAGGATGTCGGATTGCCAACGTGGGCAAACACTCAGTGCGACAATGGAACAGGCAGCGCGACAGTAGTTGGCATTGGGGTGGCGCGTACGTTTGGTGTTTGATGCATGTAGCACAGCTGCCGGCTGGGCACACGTCGTCATCCCTGGTTCCAGACGCCGCGGGGACCTCGGCAGCCATGCGGCTCGCAACTTGGCTCCCAGGCACGGCCTGCAGCAATCGCACACCCACACCATGGGGAAGTTAGTCTTAGCTGTGGCTTGTTGCATGTCCCTGCCACTTCGTAGTGAATGCAAGGTTCAGTCATCTGGCGAAGGGTGGCGTAGAGGACTGTGTCTGTTGTTTTCTGAGCCTGCCACAACGCGCAAAAACACGACTCCCGAACATAGCAGAATCACCTATCTGCTCATGATCATCACACAGGCAAAAGAAGTGGTCTCCGCCAACCTCGCGACGGAACGCCAAAAAAGAACAATCTCCCCACCATGAGTCGAACAAGGGACCTTCTGATAACAGCAGATATTACAGTCAGACGCTCTAAACCAACTGAGCTACGGGGAGAATACTTCAAACGAAGTCGTGCTTGGTTTTTCGATGGAGAAACGGGCAGTATACGCATATATATTTCACCCACATCTGCCAGCTCTGATGCTTCCGTGCAAGTCGAACCCCTCTAGTTGACGACCAATTTGCACCCTTCTCTCACCCGGCCCCACCACTGCTAGCTTTGCGATCCTTCAACCCGCGCCAACGCACAACAACGCCGCTAATCATGGCCGCGCCTGAGGGGGATGAGTGGGAGTACGAATACGACGATAATGAGACAGAAGATTTCTACATTCCGCTCGACTTGTCCAATGTGCCTGCAGCGCAAATTCCCATGGTCTCGCAGGGTAGACCAGGCCATCCGACTCTGCTCAAGAGCCGATTGCGCGCACTGAATGCCGCTCGAGCTCAACCAGCCGAGTTCGCCGCCGACAGCAACGATGGACAGGAGACGGCAACTATGGGCGAAGTTCAAATCATTGGCCTACACACGCCAAACCCACTGGTCATGTACAACGGCCAGCTGCTGAGTTGCCATTGGACGTCGACCGTCGGAACCGACATGTTCTTCGTGAAGCCGAACGCGAACTCATCAACTCAATCAGACACGCTGCGATCTCTGCCGTCGGTCAACTTGTTAGCTCTAGGCTCCGCAAAGCTGGTAGCAAAGGTTGGACGTTTGCGACCGCGCGACGACCTCTTCGACGACGCTAGTAATACGCAACAGACAGCAGAGGTCGCGCCTGCTGCAGACGGCAACCAGGGTGCTACAACAAGCGTAGACAACACGTCACACGCTCAGCCTCCCAGCAACGAAGAGGCCTCATCCGTTTCTTCGAGCTTCCTTGCCAGGTTGAATGAGGCCAAAGCAAAGAGAGGAGAGAAGTCGCGCTTGGCAATCTCGAAGACACCAGAAGGCTCGCGTCTAGTGGCAGAAAAGGCGACAACTGGGATCGCCAATGCAGGAACTGGTACCTCGCAAACACATGGCGACTCGGTCATGGGCGGTACGTGAGATGTATGCGAAAGCGATGGATGGCCGAAGGAGGTAGGACCACCACGTGCTACATCATTCAAGCAAGTCGCGAAACACCCTTGCGAGTGAGGAGGGTTATCTCAAAGCGTATGCCGACGAAAGAAGATGGCTCGATGAATTCTAAGCGTAGTAGGATAAAGCGGTATGCTGCAGTATCCGCAAGAGTGAGGTCCTGTCACCGCGTAAGATCTACTTAGGTGCACTTGCCACGCCGCCCATCAGCGTACCTGCCACCAAAAAGGAAGCTCGAGGCACCTTTGTTCTAGACCGCACATGGCTACCTCTTCAGACGTGCTTTCAATGGACTAGCTCTACGGTCACGTCTCCTCCACATTCTATTATCTCATACCTGATCTATCATCCTGCTCCCTACACATACTCTACCTTTACCCATCCCGATGCAGCGAAAGCTAGACAGACTGAGTGTCGGCATCATTCCAGAACAGTCTCTAGACATCACCGACACGTCCCTACACTGGCTGTTTGGTAAAGATGGTGGATACGTCACCCGGCTCAATGACGACTACGCTCAAGACACACCGAACGACAGCATCCCATCTGCGAAATCAGAAGCAAGAATCACGAGAGAGATCGGAGACTGGATGCAGTCACAAGAATGTGATGAGTTCTGGGCGCCTCGGGCGCAGCAGCCTCGTTGCGTTAGCAGCTCTCAGCCAAGCGGGCTGCTCTTCAAACTGACAGATACAGACACTTCCAACTGCACACCAACTACTCGAACAACTTCATGACGACAAAATGATGACAGATGTCTCTCAGAGTAACATCGTCGCCTGCGAGACGATTCTCCAACTCATCGCTTTGCAGTTGCTAGCAGCGTGCTATACCCTCTCACCCCCTTCGAGCGCAAATCATATTCCACTGTTTCAGCAGCGCAAAGAGAGAAGATTCGTAACAGCCCTGCGGTCACATTCTCATCACCGGTATTCTCCAGCCGCCGGTCACCAAGCCCGCCCACCTTCCGAGACGGAATCTTGGCCTGGGCTTTATACGGGGCCTTCTACCGAAGAGAAGCTGGCGCAATACGTCAGTCAGAGGCGTAAGATACGCAAGCAAAGCAGCGATTATATACCACACTTCACTGCGAGCGGATGGACAGATGGGCCGCCAGCGATAACCACACGTGAAGACTCACGGAGCCCCTTATCACGAGAAAGCTCCAGCTCCTCATCTGAACCCGGGTTCTTCTCCAAACTGATATGTCAGGCAGCAGTACCGAAGAACTATCGGCGAAGACATGACACCATATTTTTTAGTCGCACGACTTCGAAACAAAAGAAGCAAGAACGAACACAATTTGAGGACAAGTCGGACAATCGCGCGGAACGCCAAAAGATTAGTTCCCAGCCCGTTCAACGTATACCCTCGTTACATCGTCTCAGGCATACCCAGTCTGCTCTGTGCATTGAAGTAGAAGCAGACATAGAAGAAGAGATACCTGTCGAAAGCCCACATGACGGGAAACGTCACCCCTCGGACCCGTCGATTGGCAGTATTCTTACCTACACCTTCCAAATCCCCGAGGTGCGACGCACCTCTGTCACACCAAATTCCAACTGGGGCCCCGCTTCCTCGGAAGAGGGCATGATGCGTGCCTGCGGACGAGGAGATCTCATCGTCACACGGGACTATTTCGACGATGTGCCCGAGACCCCAGACAATGCACGTCACCAGCAGTCGAGGTGGAAGATACCTCATTGGCGTCACAAGCTTGGTGACTCTCCACCACTACCCGCCACTATGTCATCTACACAGCCCATAATTACCACACCAGCGGTAGATTACTTCGCCCAAGTCTATACCGAGAAGCACGTTACCCATCAAACCGACGATCCCGAGATCGCAGCAGAAGAACATAGTGATGCTGGTCCCGAGATCGAAGATGACCCAAGGCTACGGAAGATGTTAGGAAACATCGTGACTCCGTCCAGCGACGATGAATCCAGCGACAGTGATATGGAACGGACCAAGAAAAGAAAGGGGATCAAAGAATCAGATACTACAGCTTTTGAAGTTGCAGAACGATTTCGAGACAGAACGGGAGATGGATGGGAGCACACAAGAGTCAAGGCACTTTGGTGATGCCACAGACGAACACATGGTATGCGCGTAGGTAGCTTTTCTAGACATTCGGCCCTTCCGGGTCTACCTAGGAGGCTTTGCTTCAGCGGCAGCTCTATACATCCTGTAGACATAAGTCGACCTCATGCCCAGAACAGGATTGTCAAAGTCGTTCTCCCTCTTCTCATGTAGCTTGAAGCCAACCTTTGTCAAGACATTCTGACTAGCTGCCAGCTCGGTATCTGTATGTGCCTCCGCGAAGTCGTACCTCGGTGCCAGCCTGTTCCTGTTGTTCCTCCCATCTCCCTCTACCCGTCCGTTGTTTGCCTTGCCGTTGTATGTGCCTAGTCCGTAGTCTTCCGACACATAGTCCGCGATATCACGGCCCGAGTAATGCTCGAAGAACAAGGGCATGAACGCTTCCAACGCTTCGGTAGCGTACCCTCGTCCCCAGTATTCGGCGTTGAACATGTAGCCAATCTCTGGGGCGCGGACTGCTCCTATCAGGCCGATGACGTGCGGGCCTTCGTGTGGCGCTAGGAGGACGATTGCAAAGTTCCAGTTGCATTCAACCTGGTGACACTGTAGACGGTTAGCATACGTCCGGATGTATTATGTAGGGTAGTAGGCTTACACCTTGAATCCATGCTTTCGTGCCTTCGAGGTCATCTGAAGGTAGAAGAGACGTATGTTTCATCACTTCCGGATGCTTCCGCATCAACAATACGTCCTCTGCATCTTCGAGGCGCAACGGCCGCAGCAGCAGGCGTTGAGTCCTCGCGAATATCTGCGGGTCAACCACCACCATCGTCGCGAGCGTGCGAAACGAGAAAGTAATATCGAGCCATTGCCGGCTGTACTGTGCGCTGATTAAGACTCACATTGTGTCGTGTGTCATGTCATCAAGCTGTCGCTGTCGCTGTGGCCTGCGCTTGTGCCTTGCAGCACGCGTCAAGAGCTATTCCCTTTACAGACATGTAACGCCCATCTCCAAAACTCCAGCTGTTCAAACACACCGCATACAACCACACAACCAATCAAGATGGCGTCCTGAAGAGCGCTTTACATCATTTCCAAAGCTTCTTCGTCGTTTCCGGTCAGATCCAGCCTTTACCATGTCGAATTCAATACTTTCCGCTTCCGCGAAGGGAGCCACCTTTCTCATCCTCCTGCAGGTGGCTTCTCGCGCGCTGACGTTTGCTGTCAATCAGGTTCTGTTGAGGTTCCTATCACCAGAGCTATTGGGCGTGTCGGCGCAGCTGGAGCTGTTCTCCATCTCTGTGTTGTATTTTGCCCGCGAGAGTCTGCGTGTGGCGCTGCAGCGTCAGGCTCATGGGACGCAGGCTGTCGTCAACCTTTCATATCTCGCTGTCTTTTTCGGCACGCCTCTGGCGTATCTTCTCGCGCTACTATGGATGCGTTCCGATACGCCAAACGTTCCGTACTTCATGGAGGCCCTGGTTGTGTTTTGCCTGGCTACTTTCTTGGAACTGCTGAGCGAGCCGGCGTTTTCTGCTGTGCAGCAGAAGCTACTTTACAAGGTTCGAGCGTCGGCTGAGAGTTCAGCTACTTTGCTGCGCTGCGTTGGTACATGTGGCTCAGCCATCTTGGCTAGTCGAGTTGGCCTGGACATTGGGGTCTTGCCATTCGCTATCGGGCAGCTGGCTTATGCATTGGCTTTGCTTGTTGTGTACTCGTACAAAACGTGGCCTGTTGCAAAGACTGATGGCTTCTCGCTGTTCCCGGAAAGAGTGCCATTCACTCAGGAAAACCCGACATTGTTGAATTACTTCTCAGCTCCTCTGCTGCGACTGACTGCATCTCTTAGTCTGCAGTCGGCGTTGAAGTATGTTCTCACTCAGGGAGACTCTCTTCTCATTACAACACTGGCATCTCTCGCAGATCAAGGCGCCTATGCGCTTGCTTCAAACTATGGAGGTCTCATTGCACGCATGCTTTTCCAGCCCATTGAAGAGAGTAGTCGCAACATGTTCGCCAAACTATGCGCCAACGTAGAGACATCAGCAACGGAGAAGAAGGATCTAAAGAAGTCGGACGAACAAAAGCAAAACCTTGCTCAAGCTTCTAGGGTATTGAGTACCATACTTCGACTCTATGGAATTATCTCCTTGTTCGCGGTTACACTAGGACCTGTACTAGCTCCAGTGCTTCTCTCCATCGTCGCCGGGAAAAAGTGGTCTGCAACCTCTGCTTCGCAGGTACTCTCCACGTATTGCTACTACATACCCTTTCTCGCTATCAACGGAGTCACGGAGGCTTTCGTAGCCGCAGTAGCAACCAACAAAGAGCTATACGCGCAGTCCATTTCCATGGGCATTTTCTTTGCGCTCTTCGCGGGTAGTGCGTGGTTCTTCATCGGGCAGCTCGAAATGGGAGGCAACGGCGTGGTTCTCGCAAACACGGTCAACATGGGCTTGCGCATCGTCTGGAATACCTGGTTCATTAGGCGGTTCTTCGCGAAGAACGGCTCCGAGTTCAATGTACTCGAGACATTGCCCTCACTTGCTGCCGTGGCACCGGCGGCTGTTATACCTACCCTGATGCGAACGAAACCTGCAATCAGCTTTCTTGGACGGCTTGGGGTGCTTGGGGAGCTGATCAGTATGGGTGCAGTGGGTGGTGTTTACGTCTTGCACGTTCTTTTCTTCGAACGGCAGTTTCTCGTCGACTGCTATCGCATGCTTCGACCGTCGCGGTCTGCTCAGCCACCCACGAAGTCGACTTGATCGAACACTGGATGCGGAAGAGTTGGCCATACAAAGCATGATTCGCTTCCGACTTTAAAGATGCCGATTGCCGTCTTTCAGCCCTCACAGCGCCCTTTGATATCTTCCACGCCCTTCTGCAGTGCGCAACAGGCAGTCAATTCTATCTCTCCCATGATATATCTCGGGGTTTCATTACTACCTGGTCGACTGAGTGCATGGCTGACCAGATTGTTGTTGATTTTCATTCGATATCGAATCACTTTTCCCTCCAAGGATAGGACTCTTACGAACAGCAGAAGCGATACATTCGACCACACTGCTCGGTAATTAGGTGACAATACCGATACCGCAACCTGGATCTCCGCAGCACCTTCTAATGTCGTCGCGGCCGCGGTCATAGAACGTTCCTGCCAAAGTCTCTGTCCCACCCTCGCATGATTGGTCACGAATGCTAGCGTCATAATCTTCCTCCATACAGGTAGTGGGGACCCCCGCAACGTCATCGCGAACACAGAAAGTCAGCCCAGAAAATACTTCACATCACAAGACACTGCTGTAACAACCTCTCAAGTAATCTGGGGGTAATAGAAACCACCTTCAGAAAGCTGGGGGTAATCAATATCACTCTTGCATAAGGCGGGACACAACAGCGCCGCTAAGGAGTTTCCTGGGGGTAAGAGAAACTAAGTCTCGAACTGGAACCGCGTTAATCACGCCATCAAAATTCTACGGTTCGCACCGTTTCTTCCGCTTACCTCTTGGCTGACATCTGGGGCACCAATCGCAAATCCGGGGAACCTGCACTACCAAAATGGTCACGACAGACGAGTCAAGACACCTCCATGGGTTGGTTGACATGGGGAGCAACGGGATCCGCTTTTCGATCACCGACCTGGCGCCCGCGACGAGTAGGCTGTTGCCGACTGTGTACCTGGATCGGGCAGCAATTTCGCTGTACGACGCGCAGTACGAAAATGGCCAGGTTGTGCCGATACCAGAACCGACTATCAAGCAATTGATCAAGTCACTATTGCGTTTCAAGGATACATGTGAAGATTTTGGAGTACCCGAGAAGCAGATTCAGATTGTAGCTACTGAAGCTACTCGGAAAGCCAGCAACTCTGAAGACTTCCAAAGCAAGATCAAGGATGCTACTGGCTGGACTGTACAACTCTTGTCGAAGGAAATGGAAGGCCGGATTGGAGCTTTCGGTGTAGCGAGCTCCTATCATAACCCGATTGGACTCATGATGGACCTTGGTGGAGGCTCTACACAGATCAATTGGATGATTCCGTCACAGCGCGGCCAAATCGACACATGCGAGAAAGGAAGCGCAAGCCTACCATACGGCGCGGCTGCCCTCGCGAAGAGGCTCGAAGAAGCAGGCTCTCCTGATAGCGATGCTTTCCGGACATTCGAAAGCCAAGTCATTGCGGAGCTTAAAGCTGCGGTACAATACATAGAGGTACCACAGCAGTTGCTTGACCGCTCACAGTCACCCGAAGGTCTCTCGCTTTACCTGTCTGGAGGCGGCTTCCGAGGCTGGGGTTTTGTACTCATGTCGGAGCATGCGATTCAGCCATATCCCATACCCATCATCAATGGGTTCCGGACGACCAAGGACGCGTTTCACGACACCCAGGCTGTACAAGCAGCGGTGCAAAGAGAGGATACACCCGACATCTTTCGGGTCTCGGCCCGCAGAGCAAGTCAGGTTCCAGCAGTTGCTTTCCTGGTGAACTGCCTGTCCAAAGCACTGCCGAGCATCAAAGATGTGTATTTCTGCCAAGGCGGTGTGAGGGAAGGCATGTACTTCTCAGAGATGTGGCTCACGCCCAGTCCGTTGTTCGAAACCACGATGAGATACGCTAAGCCATCGAGCGGGGAGTTTATGGCGATGTTGCAGGGAATCAGTACCCCTCCGCCAACAGCGTCTCATCAAGAACTGTTCAACTACGAGATGCAGAGAGCTTTTGGGCGTGCTATGTTTGCACACATGGGGCAAGTCAAGGACCTCCAAGCTGGAGCTGCGCTCCGAAGTACAACGACCGGTTTGTTCTCTTCTGCACATGGTTTGACACACGAAGACCGCGCGATACTTGCCATCTTCCTTTGCGAGCGCTACGGTGGCTACGGTTCTATCAGTCCAACAGAGCAGGACTTCTACCGCCGAATGCTGCAGCTCGTGCCAGAAGACTTGCGATGGTGGTGTATGTTACTTGGCCGCGTTGCTGCAGTTCTGGCCAGCGTTTATCCTGCGGGTCTGATACGAGAGAAGAGGGTGAAGATCACTTCCCAGTGGACAACGACGAAGAAAGAAAACGAGAAACTGTGTATCGATTTCAAGTTTACCAAGGAGCCGGACGAACTCGATGAAGGGCTTCATGCAGCGCTCAAAAAGGTGGAAAAGGCAGGGAAGAAGAAGAACTGGATAGGAGGACACGGCTACAAAGTGCTTCTGACGATCAACGGCAAGGAGTTTGGTGAGGATAACTGAGAATACCCAATGTTCTGAACCCTATTATGTGATTAGATAGTCTAGATGCCAGCTCGCACGAAAATAGCACTGTGGCGAGGATCGTGAAATCCAGACTTTGTAATCGCCATGGCACTGCAGCTGACACGAAGCATCGTGACATGGAGAGCGGTGTATTACGACGGCTTCACTGGTCGTGCAATGGCCATGGCTCGGAAGCGACGGGCATCGTGACCTGCTGCGGGCGGGCTGGATGACCCTTCGCCTCATGACCGGCCATCGGAACTCCTGGAAGACGTGGCCTGTAACGCCCGGACTGGCAGCACGTGCAGCAGACAAGCCAGTCCCAGGGAGCCCCATCAGTCATGGAAACCGTTTGGAGACGGCGCCAAGGATCGTGAGTTCAATTCTGCAGGACGCGTAGGTGGGGATGCGAGGTGAGGAGGCACTAATGCGGCGGCCTCGACGGCGCTCCTCATTGCGCGCGCATATGGTGCAATAGCTCATGCAGTCAAGGCCAGGTTTCGGTCGGCGGATTGAGGAAAACTCTGATGCGGCTTTTTTGCAGGTCATGTTCTTGGAGCACTGCGAGCACCGGCTTGGTGGCCCCGTTTCTAATTACGTGAAGTTTGCCCAGGTGGGCGCTGCGGTGCAGGCGCTAGCGGCTGCACATTCTGGGGAAGCTTGACTCGGCTTTCCGCGGTTGAGTTCAGGTACGCCGCTGCCGAGCCTCCAACGACCATGAGACAAGACGTGAAAGGTTATAAAGATGACGGGGCCCGCCTTCGCTGCTGGGGCACTGACCGGACCCTCTTTGCAAGCCTCATTCTACTCTACTATTCTTACTCCCGCATCTTATCTTGATATCGGCATACCAGGGTGTTACTGTCGCACCGCCAGGTACCTCGAAGATTGCAGCGTCGTACTAACAGGGTCGCTGTCACTCACGTCTTGACGGGCATCGGATGCATTAGACGGGTATACGGACTACTGCACATCTACCTGTACACAAACTGCCATCCCGATTCCCCAGGGCAGGATACAGAAGAGCGGTGGATCAGCTGTCCAATTGCCTGTACCATCGTTATCCGAAGCGGTGATCGACGGCTGCGGCTCGTTGGTTGTACTAGGAGGTAAGCTAGCGTTCCTGCGTCATGGCAGTTACGATGCCCGAAATAGCGGTGCATCGTATTTGTCGGATGCACTGAATCGTCGACTAACGAGCCCTTCTTTTAGTGTTTTGCGAGCTCAAGGCTTGGGTTCTGCCCCTCTATCATCAAGGGCCCCACTATTGCCCGATCGTCCAAACTTCGTGCGCTTTATCATCACGCCTGACGCGTCTCACCGAGCACGCAATTCAAATAGCATTGTCTCAATCGCTATAACAGCACCTTGCTGAACAGCCACACGATCAATTGCACACGCCCAGCATGGCTTCCACACCGATTGAAGCCGTCAACGGCCTCGGACCCCAGCACAAGCAGCTCGAGCAGCTCCTCCATACTCCAGACCGCCGACCCTCACCTCTTCCCACACATTTGAGCGCCCCGGGCTCAGGAAGCTCGACACCTCGAACAATCCCACAGGAAGGCTCAGGCGGCTCCGGATATGTTGCACCCGTTTTCGAGGGCAAGGCCCAGCAGATGGAGGCCGTTATGGACGGCGTTGAGGAGAAGGGCTTCATGCCTCCAGAGCTCGTAGAGTCAGAAACCAAGTGGTTCTACAACGAGCTGGGCATTGACGATATGTACTTTGCTACCGAGACAGTAGAAGCGTAAGCATGGCTTTCAATCTTCCCAGAACTGCACTAACAGAGGTTATAGAATCATCAGCCACATCCACTCGCTCTACGCCGCAAAGGTCGCCGCATACGCCAGAGATGACAAGCGCCTCGAGATCCGGCTCGACAAGGAAGCCGCTGATCACGCCGTATACATCGATACCAGCAGACCCGGTGTCTCCGTCATTGACGGCCCTCAATACGAGCAGCGTCTGGGCAAGAAGTACCTGGCTGTATCCAAGCCTGGCCTCGCATACCGTGTAGAGAGCTTCCGCTCGGAGAGCCCACTACCAGGTAGCGACGACCAGCAATTGCGATGCTACTTCGTCTACCAGTGCGACTTTGTCGACCCCAACCCCAGCGAGACAGAGACCAACATTGAGAAGATTGGTGACAAGCGTTTCCTGCAGAAGGCGACTGAAAACACAAAGGTCATCTACCAGCAGATTCTCCAAGTCGCTGTAGAGCGTACTGGTCCCGTCATTGACCATTTCGACATCGAAGGCTCAAGAGATAAGCGCCTAGTCGTCGGCTTCAAGCGCGGAAGTGCATTGGGTCTTTTCAGTGCCTTGAGCGACTTGTACCATTACTACGGTCTGACCACCTCGCGAAAGTACGTCGAGCAGTTCTCGAACGGCTACACTGTCATGTCTCTCTACTTGCGCCCGCTTCCAGGAGCTGCCGGTGCCAAGCACCCACCGATTGAAGCCTCGATCCACCAGATCACCAAGGAGGTTTCATTGCTTTACTGTCTTCCGCAGAACAAGTTCCAGACGCTCTTTGCTACGAGCAGACTGAGTCTACAAGAGACCATCTACGCACACTGCGTCTGGGTCTTCATTACCCACTTTCTCAACCGTCTCGGAAGCGAATACACCGCTCTGTCAGCTATTCTAGACCCGGAGAACAGCGTACATGCCGAGTTGCTATCCAAGCTGAAGCGCCGCCTACGTGCTGAGACCTTTACCGCCGACTACATTTACGAGATCATCATGACCTACCCGGAACTGGTCCACACCTTGTATCTGCCATTCGCTAAGACTCACTACGTCCAGACTCGGGGTCAAGAGGATGACTTCCTACCAACTCTGAGTTATCTCCGCCTCCAGGTCGACAAGGTCCAAACAGATGCGGAACTGACCGACACCATTAACAAGGCTGTTGTCAACGATCACCACGAGATGGTGATGACTGCCTTCCGTGTCTTCAACCAGTCAGTGCTGAAGACCAACTTCTACACTCCTACCAAGGTCGCCATCAGCTTCCGGCTAAACCCCAACTTCCTACCCTCCACAGAATACCCTCAGCCGCTGTATGGCATGTTCCTTGTCATTGGCTCTGAGTTCCGTGGTTTCCATCTTCGCTTCCGCGACATTGCCCGCGGTGGTATTCGTATCGTCAAATCCAGGAGTCAGGAAGCATACTCCATCAACGCGCGCTCTATGTTTGACGAGAACTACAACCTCGCAAACACGCAGCAACGTAAGAACAAGGATATTCCAGAGGGTGGCTCCAAGGGTGTTGTTCTTCTTGACTTCAAGCACCAGGACAAGGCCCGGGGCGCTTTTGAGAAGTACATCGACAGTATCCTCGATCTTCTCCTGCCTCCTACCAGTCCTGGTATCAAGGATCCTATTGTCGATCTCCACGGCAAGGAGGAGATCCTCTTCATGGGTCCCGACGAGAACACTGCTGATCTCGTCGACTGGGCTACTGAGCATGCGCGTGCTCGTGGTGCGCCATGGTGGAAATCTTTCTTCACTGGAAAGAGCCCCAAGTTGGGTGGTATCCCTCACGACCGATACGGCATGACAACTCTGTCTGTCCGCGAGTACGTCCTGGGTATCTACCGCAAGCTTAACCTCGACCCCAGCAAGGTCCGCAAGCTACAGACAGGTGGACCCGATGGTGATCTTGGCTCGAACGAGATTCTGCTCAGCAATGAGAAGTACGTTGCTATCGTTGACGGTTCCGGTGTCTTGGTCGACAACAACGGAATCAACCACGAGGAGCTGGTACGTCTAGCCAGGGAGCGCAAGATGATCAACCACTTCGATGCTTCGAAGCTTTCGTCAGAAGGCTACCGTATTCTGGTCGACGACACCAACAAGCGACTACCGAACGGAGACCTCGTGTACAACGGCACAACCTTCCGAAACACATTCCATCTTCGCAGTGACATGCACTACGATTCCTTTGTTCCATGTGGTGGCCGACCTGAGTCTATCGATCTGTCAACCGCCAACAAGCTCATTGTCGACGGCAAGTCGGTGATCCCTTACATTGTTGAAGGTGCGAACCTGTTCATCACCCAAGACGCTAAGCTCCGCCTCGAGAAGGCTGGCTGCATTCTGTACAAGGATGCTTCAGCTAACAAGGGCGGTGTTACTTCTTCCTCGCTTGAAGTGCTTGCTTCGTTGGCATTCGACGACGAGAGCTTCCTTAAGCATATGTGCGTCGGTGAAGATGGCCAGGCACCGGAGTTCTACAACAACTACGTTCGGGAAGTGCAGAAGACTATCCAGAACAACGCGCGTCTTGAGTTCGAGGCCATTTGGAGGGAACACCAGGAGACTGGTCAGCCTCGCAGCATTCTCAGCGACACCCTCAGTACCGCGATCACAAAGCTCGATGAGGAGTTACAGAACACCGAGCTGTGGAAGGACGTCAAGTTCCGGGAGTCGATTCTCAAGGAGGCGTTGCCAAACATCCTACTCGAAAAGATCGGCCTCGATAAGATTATCAAGAGGGTAAGTCACAACCAATCCTGTGCAGTTGAAGCATGGACTAACAAGCATACAGGTACCCGACAACTATCTACGTGCTATCTTCGGAAGCTATCTCGCCAGCCGCTTCGTTTACGAGTACGGTGTATCAGCCAGTCAATTCTCTTTCTTCGACTTCATGAGTAAGCGCATGGCAAAGGGTAGCAACTCAGCTACTCGCTAGAAGGCTGTCATGAGTATTGAGCATGAGCGTCAGAGCTCGCACGGCGTTTGGGCAAGGGATCAAAAGTTATCTGAGGTTTAAACATATGCGCCGACCATGGACATGGGCGGCGCTTAGGGATCCCATAGAATGGGTGCTGACACGGGCGGCTATTTAGCTGTACGAACGAATGATAGATGAATACAAGTGCTTCAATTCATTAACCTACTACAAAAATGTTCAGACACGCGTTCATGCCTGTAACCTTTTTCTCGCGGTCGTGACAGACCATCATGGTAATACGGTAGCCCCG